CCAGGGAACACTTTGTTCAGCCTGAAAATGTAACGTCTTACCCTGCTTTGAGGATGCAGTGTTATGGATGTTGTTATTAGGTGCTACCAAGTCTATTCCAGCTCATAGCGACTCTGTGTACAATGAAGGGAACACTGTCCAGCCCCGTGCCATCCTCACAAAGACCAGCCCATGTTGCAGCCACTACATCACGGTTTTCCTCTTTTTGGTTGAGCCTCTACTTTCTCAGGGACCTGTCTTTCCTGGTAACATGTACAAAATACATGAGATAAAGTCTGGCCATACTTACTTCTAAAAAGAATTCTGACAATAAGAGAGAAGCTTGTTTATTTTTCTGGCAGTCCATGGAACTCTCAGTATTCTTCATTAATGCCATAAGGCAAATGCATCAATTTCCCCCCAATCTTTCTTATTCACAGTCCAACTTTCTCATGTAAATGGGGTGACTGCAAAAATCATGCCTCGAGCAAGGTCTGCCTTAGCCCTCAAAGTGGCATTATTGTCCTCCAGTACGTTAAAGGAGCCTTGGGCAGGCAGATTTGTCCAATGTAATATGCCATTTGATTTCTTGACTACTATTTCCATGAGCGTTAATTGTGGCTGCAAGGAAATTGAAATCCTTAACAATGTCTAACTTTTCTGCATTTGTCATGATGTTGTCCATTGGTCCATTTGTGAGGATGGTTTTCTTTACACCGAGTTGTAATCCATACTGATGCTGCAGTCTTTGATTTTCATGAGAAATGCTTCAATTTCTCCTTCCTTCCACCCAGCAAAATGTGTCACCTGCACGTGGCAGGTTGCTATGAAGCCTTACTCTATTTTTGGTGCTGTGTGCAGGTTCTCAGATTTGTTTAGCGAACAGATTGAACAAGTTTAAGTAAAGTTATGACCCTGAAGGAAACTTCTGATTTTAGACTTCTGTTCAAGTAGCTGCTTCTTGGTCCTTGGAAATGAAGTGTTCTAGGACTCCCATTCCTCTCAGGCTTATTCGGTCTGTTATGATCCACACAGTGGAAAGCCATTGCACAGTAAAATGAACAAATAAAAACAACACACACAAGTAAAAATACTTCTCTTTGGTATTTTCCTGAGTTCAGCTATGATCCATCTAATCTCAGCAATGGTATCCTCTTGCCACAGAATTCTTGGCTTACAGAATTATATCACTCTTGTTAGATGTGATCCATACTGATTACATCCTGTTCTCTCTCCTGTTTGATGTGATCCATACTGATTACATCCTGTTATCTCTCGTGTTTGATGTGATCCGTCCTGATTACATACGGTTATCACTCCTGTTTGATGTGATCCGTCCTGATTACATACGGTTATCACTCCCGTTTGTCCTATTTGACATATGAGTGGAATAGTCTCCAACAACACGCAAGCACAACACCCTAGGGGGTGGGAACAATAATAATACCCAGCCTGAAAGACTTTCTTGTGCATTTAAAATGTGAGCATCACATGTTATTGTAGGTTAAAAGTTAAGGTCACATTACTCATTTTAATGAACAAAGCAAAACCACAGTATATCATTAAATGTTAAAAGTAATAGGGAACATTTTCCCCCAATAAGTTTATTGATATAAAATTCACATATACACTTCCATGGTTCAGTCATATTTTAAAAGAGTGTATATACAACATCAAAATTGGTTCTAGTGCACACTCCAGAATATACTTAGTTCCCAAATCCTCTCAACCTCCTGCCCAACTCCCAGATGGACTATTACAACAGTTATTGTGTATGCATCCCTTCATTGTGTACCTCATAAACTTAGAAACCTTAAAGAAACAATAAAAATGAAAAACAAGACCAGGAGCAAGAGAAGGAAGAAAAGACCCTCATGTGGCGGTGACATCATCGCCCACCAACTTGAGGGCATTAAGAGTGAAGGGGCGGAGCTTAGCTTATCAATCAGCTCGCAGCTTGATGGCCTCGCTTGGAGGCACGACTGAGATAAACAGGTGGATCACACTCTCTGCCTTCCCCTTCCTGCTGCTGCTGAGACTCTGAGAGCTGGAGGAGCCACGTGGAAACCCCAGCCAGAGTGGAGATGCTTCCACCACAACTGGATCCACATTATGTTACACCGCTGGCCTGTGGTCTTCCTGTATTCGGCATCATTGCAAGTGGAGGATTTCTTGAGCTAATATTGGACTTGTGTACTTGATCTGGACTGGGCTGGGATGTTTTCTTAATGTACAATTATTCTTTGATATAAAGCTCTCTCTTACACAAACATATGAGTGTCTCTGGATTTGTTTCTCTAGTCAACCCTCAATATTAAAATAAGCCAGTGAAAAAATTTCTGTTGTGGAACAAGTGAGCAAATTTAGGATGGATCAAGAGGGAGGTCAATTGACCAGCTACCATATTATACCATAGTTCCATCTACCATAATCAAGTTTACAATGTTCTCTGTCTAATATCAAGACTGTTCTGGTCCCTGAGCTGTGGCCAGAGGGGATTTGGTATAATGGAAGTGATTATGTTACATCATAACTGACAAACCACTGAGAATCTTGGCCCATCCAAGTGGGCCCATATTATCAGAAACAATTTATTCCACAACATCCCACCCCTTGGGCCTCCAAAAAACATGTCCTGTGATGCATAAAACATATCACTCCAGTGTTCCATCTCAAACATCTTAGATCAACTCCAAGCCCATAGTCTGCTGGGGACAATTCCTCTTCTCTAAGAACCTGCGAAATCTAGAAAGAACTTGTATGCCTCCTAAGTACAGTGGTGGGACCGGCGCAGGCAGACTTGGCTATTAAACGTGAGAGATACAAGAAGCAGCAAGAGTGCACTTTCTCAGACGTTTCCTGGTCAGCCTCACTGCTCATGTCACTCTGGGCTCTAAATGGAGGTCTTCTAGTCCTGGCCTTCAGCTCTGCCTTCCAAGTCCCTCACAGCGGCAACTCGGACCCTGGGGCGGCCCCCTTTTGCAAGTCCATTTGAGTAGCAAACGGACCCACTCAAAACTAGAAGGCCCTGGTTTTCAGCTCTTTGATCCAGGCTTTCCTTCCCGCTCAGCTTTGGACAGCGTGTCTAGCTCCACCTCATTGGCAATCAAGAAGAAAATCAGCAAAGATGTGATTCTTTGAACCAGGAGGCAGTGCCCCCACGTTAGCCACCCAGGAGTCATGGCACCACATTTGCAGAGTTCAGAGATCAGGGCCCCACCATCTGAGACCCAGGAGGATTTGCCTCCCCTGCTCTTTGTCCCTTCAGCTTTGCTTTTGGCCCATGACCTCTGAGCTGAGGGGGTGAGTGTTATAAAGTCTTGTAGCTCTCCAGATAGCGACTCCAGTGGTGCTTCATGTCCATCATAGATGGAAAAGAGCTCAGCTGTTTCCCTCCATGGTCAGAAAGCATATCCACAGGAAGGTTGGATCTGAACATGCTCAGAGAGCTTTCTGCAGTGGGTCCCCCCCAGCAGACCATTCACAGAATGGGAGATGACACAGTGGGAGTGAGCTAGGTCGAGAGTGTTTGAGCTCAGAGTCACATTGTTTTTGTGTGATTCATTTCACCAAGAGTTTACCAATTTTATTTCGTCTTTTCATCAAACCCGCATTTGACTTTCTTAATCCTCCACTCTGTGCTTCATTCCCACTTCTTAATTCCTGATCTTTTTTATTTGGAGACTTGGTGGCACAGGGAGGCAAGCATTGAACTGCTAACTGCAAGTCAACATTCCAAACCCACCAGCAGAAGTTAAGGCCGTGTGCTCCTGGGGTCGAAGGACCTCAAAAGGGAGTTCTGCGCTGTGCTATCAGGTTCATATGAGTTGGAATGGTTTGTGGACTTTAAGTTTTCACTTCTTTACTTAATGTTAACATGAATATTATAACAATCCCCCCACCACTTTAACCTTTCTTCCACATGCTTCAGCTAAAATATGTTCAAGAGTAAGTTTCAGAGACTCTTCTGAACCCGCTCCAGGTTTTTTATTCCTGTCTTGCACCCTCATTAGTGAAGGTCCCGAAGACTGTCCTGGCTCCATGTCATTGGGGTGGAAGCGAGAGCCCCTCCCAGTCTGAGTTTAAGTGTTTCCCAACCTGAGGGCCTTGCCTTCCAGCCCTGCATCAGACAAGGGCCTGCCCTTCAGAAGGCTTTCAGGGGCTGGTTTCTCAGAAGCAGACCACCTGTTCCTTCTTCCTCACCCATTCCTGTTCTGGAAGCTCCCTGAAGCCTGTTCACCAAGGGTGTTCCTGTTCATCTTTGAAATACGTGTGGCATCACATCAGCATGCAAGCCACCTCAGTGCAGCAAACAGCCGGGCGGACTCAATGACAGTACTCAGCCCGAAGGACTTCCTCACATAGTTAACACTCTAAAGAATCATTCGTTGTTGCAGAATAAAGAAAAGTCACATTCACATCCTTTATGTTAACTTTAATGAAAACACAATTATGTAGTTTGTCGTTTGATCCTAGAGTGTTGAAAAATGAAGACAAAAAATACATGTATCACCCAATAATGTCATATATTTCAGGAATATACATACTGAAAAAGAACAAATGCATGTCAACATCACACAGTGATCAATGACTATCAAGGTAGCTGGTAATGAACATTCGGGCAGGAAATCCATGATTCCGCAATACAAGTCCAATTTTCAAGGTCCTCTGCAATGGCCGGGATGCCTGGCGGACAGACAATTCAGAGCTGGGCACCTATCAGAGATTGGCAGTTGGGGGTTGAAATCCACCCCGGGTGGGTCCAGAGAAAGGCTGGCGATCTGCTTCTGCAAGGTCACAGGCATGAACCAGCTGTGCTGTAATCCATGAGGTCAGCCAAGGGCGACGGTGTGCACTCTCTCAGCCGGGCTGTCCTTGAGCGTGGGTGTAGATAGGGAGAATCTGAGAAGTAGCCGGTCTTTGTTGTTGATTGTGCTTGATCCATGACCCACATCTGAGGAGCAGGGTATGAGGTGTCCCCAGCTCAAGCCGAGTTGGTGTTCCTGGGGAGGAGCAGGTCCTCATCTTCCATGTGGGTCTGTGTCCCTGGCCGGGGGCTGTGGAGTCGGGTCCATCCAGCCCTGAGCAGGGAAGAGGTAGGCTGCCTGGCTGGACATGGTGTAGAGGGTCTGGGTGGTGGTGTAAAGTGAGTCTCGGAGCTGGGAGAGGTATGTGAGCTCCTGTGATGTCAGAGGGGTCTGTGCCTGCTGGGCCTGCACCTGGGCCACGTCCTGGTAGATGGCCTCACACAGAGACCTCACAGTGGTCACCAATTTCTTCCGAAGTGGCGGTGGCTGGTCCTCTGAGCACTGGGATCGGGGCCGCTTGGTGTGCCTGGGTGGAGCTCTGGAGCGTTTCTTGAGGTGTTCATCCTGGGTCTCCTTGTGAGTGACTGAGCCCTGCTCTTTCTCCTCTCTCAGTGTCACTGGAGAGCCCCCTGAGGATAAAGCAGCTGGGTGAGAGGTGGGCTCGACCCGGGCCCTGTGGTTCCATCTTCTTAGAAGCCCACCCATCTCCAGGATCCCTGGATTTCAGATGTCCACACCTCCTTCCTTTTCAGGCCAGGGAGGAGGCTCCTTCCTTTCTGTCCTACTCAGGGGAAAAGGAATGCCCCCTGTGTTCTATGTGGGCAGTAGCCCCCAGTATTGACCTCCTAACCATGTCGTTGTGCTCTGTATTAGAATGTAAATCCTGAGCACCCGGCTTATAAAACGCTATGGACGAGAGTGACAGCCAAATCTTCATGTGGCAGAGACCCCACATGAAGGCTCCATCTAATGTTTTCAGATCATTAACCCAGGGTCTAGATAACCTCGCCCTCAGGTACAGTGCCTTGGAGAGTGTATCACCTCCGCCCCTCTCAGGCAGCGCAAGGAGGGGCAGTCTCAGAGCTGTCCTGATGTGTCCTTGATGGCGGTCCCTGTCCTGGGGAAGGAGCTGGGTGTGGCACAGTCACGAGTCCTGCCCTGTGTTTTCCTCCTGGGCTGGACTGGTCAGAAGGCCTGGACCAATGTTGCAAACCCTTCCAGTGAGCTGTGTGCCCCTATCATTGTCCATTCCCTGTGCTCATCTGTCTTCCATCTTGCTTTTGTGACAGTTTCCTTTGCCACCCATGCCCTTTGGAAAGCTTGGTATCTCAAGGGACACTTGGTGGCTTAAGCAATAAAGACCCTCGGCCTGCCAGCGTTAAAGCTTTGCCTCTTCTGACTACATACTGGGGGTCCTCAGTCTCACACTGAAACAATGCAATTGACACCTTCAGCCAGAGCCCTTTGTCACCTGCAGGAAGAGTGTCTGGTTTCCTAAAGTCCCTTGAGGACAATCCACTATTTTCTACACTCTCACCCGAAATAGGAGGCCCTGGCTGGCACACACGTTTAAGGACTCAAGAGCCTATGCAAAGACCTTTGAAACCAGCCCGGAGGCCTCTCTGAAGTATGTACTCCTATAATCCAAATCTTGAACACCACGTGGAAGGTAGTTCCACTGGACAGACAACAGAGACAACAGGGGCCGGACACATCCAATCAACAGCGGGGTTTGGGTTTGCATCCACATGCTAAGCCCAACCCCCAAATATATTTCCAACCTACCCCCTCCCTTGAGCCCCCTCCCCCCCACTCCTTACACACAGTACAGCTCCTTACCTCGATTCTGGGTGCATTGTCCCCCGGCCTGGGAAGAGAGGATCTTGTCCTCTTTTGAAAGTTGTTTCTCTTCCACACCAGAGCCCCTTTCCATGAAGGAGGTAGGTTGGTGAGGGGTCTGCTCAACAGCGGGCTTCTTGGAGGGCCCTGGGGAACCTGGGTCTTCAGTTTCCATTCCCATCTTGCAGCTCTGCTGGGGTGTTCTGGCTCTCTGAAGTCCAGGTTCAAAGGAAGACTGGGAAGTGTGATGGAGCTGCCTTTTATAGGCCTGCTGTTGTGGGTGGAGCTTCCTCCTACTGGCTGATAGCATCCCTACATCCAGCTCCCTCCTCAGAACTTCACTGAGACCCCAAGGGAAAATTTGTTTGCAGTCCCTGATAGCCAGGATGTTAAAGTGATTAGAGATGGTCACAAAAAGGATCACAGAGGATTATCCGTGCATTATATACAGATAAGATAAGATAAAGCTACCAAGGACAAGTGAATACCAAGTAAAACATCTCACCAAGTACAGTATACAGGGAGACAGTGAGATTAAAGGTGGTCATACCATTTAGATGAACATTGTATAGATGAATGTAGGTCAACTGGTTGCCTTAGTTGGTTGTTAAGGAGGCATTGGATTGGCTCCAACTCATGTTATTTTGTGTTTGTTTGTTTGTGTTTAGGTGCCCTCGAATCGGTTCTAACTCAGAGAAAGCCTGTGTCTAACAGACTGAACCACTGGCAGGGCCTGTGCCATCCTCACGATAGCTCGAATGATTTGCCCCATCAGTGGAGCCACCGTTTCAATCCCTCTAGTCCAAGATCTTCCTCTGTCTCACTGTCCCTCTGCTTTACCAAGTATGTCCTCCTCCAAAGACTGCTCTTTCCTGACAGTCTGTCCAGTGTGTGAGATGACTTCTCATTAGCTTTCTCTCAAAGGAGCATTCTGCCTGTACTTCTTCCAGGACAGAGTTCTTTGTTCTTTGAGCTGTCAGTATTCCTCTCCAGCACCATAATTCTAAAGCACTGATGCTTCTTTCTTCTTTATTCAATGTCTAACTTTCACTTTCATTTGAGGAGATTGAAAATGCCATGGCTTGAGTCAGGCTCACCTTGTTTCTCAAGATAACATCCTTGCTTTTCAACGTTCTAAAGAGGTCTTATGTTGCAGATTTACCCAAAGCAGTGCATCTTGACTGCTGCTCCTATGAGCATTGATACAAAGAAGATGAAAATCCTGACTACTTCAATAGTTTCTCCACTTATCATGATGTTCCCTATTGGCCCAATTGGGAAGAATTTGCTTTTCTTTACACTGAGTTGTAAGCCATACTGAAGGCCACAATCCTTGATCTTCATCAACAAGTTCTTTTCACTTTCAGCAAGCAAGTTCATGTCCCTTGTGTGTTTCGACAGGTTTTGATGGGCCTTCCTCCAATCCTATTGCCACATTGTTCTTTATATAATCTAGCTGATTATTTGCTCCGAATATTGTTTGAATAAGTACTTGGAAGGGTCTGACACTGATGCACACCTTTCCTGGTTTTAAAACATGAAGTCTGCCCTTCTTCTGTTTTCATAATCTCCTCTCGGTCCATGTAGATGGTATGAACGAGCACAATATGTTATTCTGGGGTTCCCATTCTTCTCAAGGCTATCCATAGTTTGTTATGATCCACACAATCAAATGCTTAAGTATAAATCTTGGGTAATTTACCATCATTAAAAGTGAAATAAAACACTTAAAGGTGAATATCCCAGGCCTTAGTGTGCTGAAATGCACTGCTACTGCTCGTTTTGAACCAGAAAATCATGCATCTTTGTGTATGCTGGCAAAGACACAAACAAGGAGAATGAGTTGAATTTATCATCAAAAAGGGCATATCAAGGTCTTTCTTGAACAATGTTATCTCTGATAGGATTACATCTGTCTGCATTCAAGGAAATCCAATCAATACAACTATTATTCAAATTTATGCACCAACCGCTGAAGCTAGTGCTGAAGAAACTGAAAATTCTACCAAAGTCTTCAGTCTGAAACGGACCAAACCTTCTGTGAAGATATATTGATAAGCATTGGCGATTGGAATGTAAAAGGTGGAAACAAACAGGAACAGACAATCGTTAAAAATGGTCTTGTGTGTAGGAAAAAAGCTGGAGATGGCATGATGTAACCTTACAAGAACAAGGTTCTTTTCACAGCAAATACTATTTTCCAATAACACAAATGGTGAGTATACACATTGAGTTTCCAGATGAAATCTACAGACATCAAGTTGATTACATATTTGGAAAGAGATGATTGAGAAGCTCAATATCAGCAAGTAGACCAGACCAGGGGCTGGCTGTGTAGTGGACCATCAATTGCTCTTGGATAAGTTAGGGTGGTTCCAGCAAGAACTAGTCGACAGTCCACCATGTCAGTAGGCAGCATTGAGCAAGAACCAATGGTGCTGATGGAAGAAGTTCATTAGTTGAAATGTATTATCCCAAAATAAGGCTCAAGGAATTGTGGGAAATATTTCAGAAAGCTGAAGAAGCACTGGAAGCACTTGGAAGTGTTTCCAATTTGGAAATTTGGAAGAGAGCTATGATTGGAAAAGAATCATGTTAGTGTCCATTGCAAAGAAAGGTGACCCAACAGGATGCTCAGTCTATAGAACAGTATCATGGATATCACACACAAGTAAATTTTACTTGAGATCTTCCAACAACGGATGCAGCAGTCCACTGTCAGGGCACTTCAGACCAATTCAGAAGAGCACATGGAACCAGGGATATCGTCGCTGATCAGATGGATCTTTGCTATAAGCAGGGAACACTGGAAAGGTGTTTACTTGCGTTTCATTCGTTTATGCAAAGACATTCAACGGTGTGGGACCATGATAGGCTGTGGATACCCTAGAGAAAAATGGGAATTCCGGAACACTCATTGTGCTCCTCTAAGCCCTCCTCGCTTTCACCAAGCAAAGTTGGATCATCTGCACACCACAAGTTGTTAATCAGCTTCCTGCAATCCTGATGCCTCCGTCTTCTTCGTATAATCCAGCTTCTCCGATGCTTTGTTCAACGTACATATTGAATACGTATGGTGAGAGGCTGCAGACCTGACCCACACCTCACCTGATTTTAAAACTTTCAGTACAACTGCCTCTTGAGCCATGTACAAGTTCTGAAGCACTTCCTGATGAAGATAGAGGATTACAGCCTTCAGTGTGGATTACAACTTGATATAAAGAAGACCAAGATTCTCACAACTGGACCAGTAGGTAACGTCATGGTAAGTGGAGAGACGATTGAAGTTGTCAAGGATTTTACCTTGCTTGGATTCAAAAGCAATGCTCATGGAAGCAGCAATGAAGAGATCAAAGATGCATTGCATTGGGTAAATATACTACACGATACCTCCTTACAGTGTTGAAAAGCAGCAATGTTACTTTGAGGGCTAAGGTGCCCTTGACCCAAGCCTCATACCCACATGGAAGTTGGACCTGGAAGAAGAAAGACCAAGGAAGAATTGATACATTGAGACATATTAGTGGGAGAAGAATATTGAAAGTCCCGTGGCTTGCTAAAAGAACAAACAAATCTGTCTAGGAAGAATTATGTCCCTGGTGCTCCTTGGATGCAGGGATAATGATAGTTCATCTCACATAATGTGGCCGTGTTTTCAGACAAGAACAGTCCCTGGAAAAGGACATCATGCTCTGTAAAGTAGGGGAGCAGTGAGAATGAGGAAGGCCGTGATTAGGTGGATTGACATAGTGGTTGCAACAGTGGGTTCAAGCATAGGGACAATGCAATGATGGGTCAGGAGCAGGCAGTGGGTCATTCTGGTGTGCATGGGGCTGCTATGGGCTAGACCTGACTCTCCTTCTCCCAATGTGGCCTAGCGATGTAAATATACCTTAGATACATGCATACAGGTTGAATTTACACTTAATCATATGCCCTAATCTAAGAAGATTTTTTCCCCCTTATGATGTGGCCCTGCTTGATTCTTGTCCTTACGAAGTGGTTTCAGTGCTATAGCAAAGTGTAGTGAAGGACTCTGATAGTGCCCAGATATCAGAACTAATTGTGTCTGCTGTCTTAAAGGTTTGTCTTAAAACAAGCAGCCATGGAAGTCGTGTTTCAGCTAAGTCCACATGGAAGAAGCACCCAGTGTCATTCAAGGATTGCAAATGATAAAGCCAAGACCGGAGCAGGGAGTTGTATTAGAGCTTAAATTCTGAGCACCTGATTTGCTATGAATGACAATGACAGCCCTAAATCTTTGTGCAGAGTCCCCACATGGATTAAGCCTCACTGAAGTCCGTAGAATGTCATTTTGTGTTAGTTCCAGACACTAGGTAGGGCCTGTTATTCTCATTCCTAAAAAATCTTTTACAAGCCCTCTGGATATTTCCTTAGATTTGTTGATAACTCTCCTCATGTTATAGTTCAGAAGCCTGAGGAGCCGCAGATGATTCCATTGTTGGACAAGGAACTTCTCAGGGAAGCAAGGATCCGGTCAGACACACCTGCTTCATTGCTAGTTCCTCACGTGCCAGGTCTCAGCCTGTCCTGTTTCCACTGTCCCAGACCCAGCCGGCCTCGGGGGTTGTGGCAAAGAAGAGGGTGTCACCAACAGACAGCCTGTGGGCTGCGAGGAGGGTCTTTTTGTTTCATAAGCTCCTGTTTACAAAGTCCGCCCACAGGCACAGGGGAAGATCCACTCTCAGAGCCCCCTTTGGAGATGCTCACTGGAAGCTTCTACTTCTTTCTGAGGATTAGGGACTTGAAGAAAGTTCTTCCAACAGAGTCTCAGGTGCTCAGATGTGAGATGTCACTGGAGCTATAGGTGAGGGGATAATTGAGGTTCTGTGGGGAGATGAGGTCAGAGAATCAGGAACATTGACCTCCGCGTCTGTCTCTCTTCCTGCCCCACATAAGAAGGCTGGCACCATGACTGGTGTCCCACAGCCCTGGCAGCAGAAGGCAGTCCCGTGGGTACGTGCATGTCCCATCCAGGCTGAGCGGCTGTATCTGAGCGGGAAGGAGGGCCACCAGGAGCCCAGGTGAGTGCTCCTGTGTGGAGAAGGGATGCCGTGAGGCAGAAAGGGGTCTGTGACCAAAGGACACCTCGTTCCTGTTTCTGGAGAGCTGGTTCTGAGTCAGGGTGGACTGGGGTGTCAGAGTAGGGCTGTGCTTCAC